GCGGCGCGAGACGCTTCAAACACGGGGTTTAGGATCCCACTCCCGGGTAAGTTCCGCATCCGCGACGTGGCTTAGGATTCCTCTCCTGGGAGGTCAAACTCAGCATCGGCGCGCGCATGTCCGTGGCGGAAAATCGGGCCTCATCCGGCACGGACCCGCGCCAATCTCGTGCATCCCGCTGGGGTAATGTGAGCCTCCGAGCGGCAAGGGGAGGGCTCCCTCCCCGTCTCATTTCTCAGGGGAGCAGCGCGCCCAGCGGCGAAACATGTATTATTCCCCATCCCTTCCTCCTCCTCCTCCTCCTCCTCCCTCCTCCTCCTCCTCTCCTCCTCACCTCCCTCCCTCCTGCTCCACCTCCTTCCCCTCCCCCCCCTCTTTTCCTCCTGCTTCTCCTCCTCTCCTCCTCCTCCTCCTCCTCCTCCTCCTCCTCCTCCTCCTCCCCCTCCTCCTCCTCACCTCCCTCCTCCTCCTGCTTCTCCTCCTCTCCCCCCCCTCATCCTCTCCCCTCCTGCTCATGCTCCTCCTCCTCCTCCTCCCCCTCCTCCTTGCCCTCCTCCTCCTCCTCCTCCTCCTCCTCCTCCTCTCCCGCCTCCTCCTCCCGCTCCTCCTCCCCCTCCTCCGCCTCCTCCTCCTCTTCCCCCTCCCTCCCATTCCCAACTGCGGCTGCGGCGGCTGCCGAGCTTGCGGCAGGTCAGCCTCTGCTTCCTGCTATGCTTCGGGTGTCGGGAGACGCGGCTCTGGCGACCGTAGGCCGCTTCAGCATGCATTGCTCGTGGCCTCCTACCGTTGGTCTACATCGGATGCAGGATTCGCATGTGCCTGGCGAGTTGGGCTATACCTGACCTGATCCAGCATACAGTGGAGGCCCATGCCAAGAAACACCCTGCTTGCCTCCAGGGTGCCCTTGGTTTCTTGGGTTTGGATGGTTTTGCGATGGAGAGCGCGGCGTTCCCACACCAACAATCAATGGAAGTCCCGGGGTCGCAGGGCTGGGTTTCTTGTGGAGGGTTTCTTGTGGAAGGGCCCCTACTCTATTCGGTATGACCAACTAGTCGGGCTTACCAGCCATGGTCGGCCTTACGGATACGTCCCAGGAGCTGCTTCCCGACGTGCCTGGTCGTACGGTAGGTCCTCGTCGTGTCGACCAGCGGCGACCCCGCCGCCGGCGTTCAGCATTGAACGCCGCTTGCGACCCAGAACCAGTCGATGTTCAACGATCTGTTTTTTCGGACACAGCCGATCGGACACGAACCTTGCCGTACGGGCACCCGATGCGAGTACGGTACGTTGATGCGGCGTTGGCGCGCCGGCGACGCCGGCGAAGGCGTTCGATATTGAATGTTGCGACTCGGAAGCACCGAGGGACACGGCGACGCCGCTGGACCCGTCGAAATTCAACCGTGATTGATCAGGGCCGTTATCGATTCAAGGTTGAACGATCGACGCGTTGTCAAAAGCTTGTTCGCGCGCCGACGACGCACGAACCGGGGAGGGTGCCCTGATGTTCTTGTATCTCCAGTCCCTTCGGGGAGCGTGCCCTCATGTTCTTCGTGTCGGTTGGATCATCTTGTGAATTCTGGGGGAGGGCACCCTCGAATGATCTTGAGTTCGGCCAGCGGACTTCGAGGATGTTCTTCTGTTCTAGGTCCGGCCGTACTTCAGGAAGGGAAAAGCACAGACACAATGAATCGTCGATCCCCAGGGAAAAAGGTGGGCAACTGTATTCACGATTGGGGGCAGAGACCCAAACCCAGACGATGTGGGAAAGTAAGGGACATCCTGGGATCTGTATGTATTCGCGTGAGGGAAATCCTAGAAAATCCTGGAAATCCTGGGAAATCCTGGGAGATCCTCGGAAATCCTGGGATCTGTATGTATTCACTTGTGTGTCCCTGGGCCCCTTTGGCACCGCTCGCCTCCCGCCCCCGGGGCGCACGCCCCCCCGCCGACAGCAGCGGGAGGGCCGCCTCCGCCGCGCACGGTGCCCTCTGCGCGCCGCCGCCTCCGCGAGGGGAGGGCGCCTCCGAGGGCCCGCGCGCCGCTCGGGGGGGGCGAAGCCCCCGGGGCGCGGGGCTCTCCCGCGACGCTCGTCTTCATCGTCGTCGTCGCCTTTGTCGGTCGTCTTTGTCGGTCTTTGTCGTCGTCTTTGTCGTCGTCGTCGTCGTCTTTGTCTTCGTCTTTGTCGTCGTCGTGTTTATCGTCGTCCGCTCTGTCGTCGTCGACGCCGTCGTCGGCTTCGGCTCGTCGTCGTCGTCCTCGTTGTCCTGTCCTCCTACCAGTCGTCCTCCTCGGCGTCCTCCTTTTCCCTGCTTGTCCGTCTTTCCCTGGTCCTCCTCCACCTCCTCCATCCCTGTGCACGGCCCAGGGACCCCTCGTGCTGCAAGTGGCATTCAAGGGCACATGTCTCATTTGACCCCTTGATTGGCGAATCTGAGAAGCTTGAGCACACAGGGGAAGGGACGGGCGGGAGGGGCAGGATGTCAGCTCCTCCGCAAGCGGCCAAAGTTTTTAGCCTCGGTTTGAGTGCCCTTTCCATCCTGTCTGCAATTCCGGGGCTTGCCTGAAGGTTCGCTGGTAGAGGTCTGGCGAAAAATCATGGCCCTGGGGCGCTCAAAGCGGTCGGCGTGTCTGACAGCCAGCGGCCCCGTGAGCGCCAGTGAGCTGCAGGCTGCCAGCTCCCAGGCATATGTCAGCGATGTCTGTGAACAGGACTTTTCTCACACGCTAGGTGCAGCTCAGTAGCGCTATCGTTTTTGGCGGACTCAAGCTGAATCCCAAACTCGGCTGCGGAACGGGAGACGGAGACTGTGGCGTTCAAGACGTCCGGCATCTCCCGAGACCGTGCGTCGCACAATGTGTGGAACGTGAGACCGACGCGGTCCACAAGCAGTTGGAATTGAGCGCGCACCCGAGCAAGCAAACAAGAGTTTGTCATGGAAGTTGCCCGAACCTTGGGCTCCGAGGGGTCCCATGTCGATCGGACGCCATTCCTCGATTTGCGGAAGAGCTTCCTGTTAGAGTGACTCTTGGAGGCCTCGATGCGTTTTCCCGTGATGCCGAAGGTTGTTTCACTTTGTGCGGGGACTGGTCGGGCGGGAGGTTTCGGATGACCCCCGCCCGCATCGTCGGGCAGGCACTGGTATCGTTGCGCTCGCCCCGTCCGGTGGTTTTTGGGAGCCTGTTTGGGGCTGTCGCTGCACCTTCGGGGGAGGGGGGGGGGACGCAGGCAGACTGTGCCGCGCGCGGAGATAGCAGCGGTCACGCAGGCCTTGGAGGCCACATCGGGCCCCAACTGTTTTTTGTCCCTGGCCCCACGCAGGCCTTGGAGGCCGCCTCGGGCCCCAACTGTTTCTTGCCTCTGGCTCCACGCCCGTAGTGCACGCGCGGGCCAGAGGTCGAGGATGGGGCGAGCCGCCGAGCAGCGCAGAGAGAACAGCGGCCTCGGGGCCCGGACCGCTGCGGCGGTTCCTTCGAGGGTCCCCGCCTCGATCTCTCGTTCTGCGGGTGGCCTCCCACAGTGTGGGCACACTTGCCTCCCCGTCGGGACCTGCAGGCTCTTGGTGCATGCTTCCTGGTTGTTTTGCTCCTTGAAGCTGCACCACCTGGGCAGTCCACGGCAGCTCAGTGCTGCCCTTGGCACCGCGGTCGATGCCCACGGTAACAAAAACAGTGTGGGCCACTTCCTCGAGCGACCGCGATTCTACTTAGGATGACCGCTGGCGATGAGTGTGCAGACCCACCCCTTGGCTGGTTAAGCTAGCCTGGAGCGAGTTCGTGCTGGAGCCGGTCCCCTGCACGGACCGTCGGGTTGCGGAGGCGGCCTTGGCCCGCCATCGGGCGAGGAGAGCTCTTGGGACTGGGGTGCCCGTAAACCACGGCGCGATCCATTCGTGAGGGGAGTCTTCACGTCCTAAGCTGGCGGCGGCGTTACAAAGAGTTTACAGCACTCTTGGAGCCGAGCTGGTGCTAAGGTTTATTGCAGTGAATGTTACCTTCCCTCGAACCAGGATTCGATGTTGCAGCTGTGCGAGGTAGGAACCCCCCCTCGGAGCTGATGGCAGGAATGCCCCTCCACCCTGGCCGCTCGTTGCAGCGTGGGGTGAAGTGCAGCCTCGCGTGCTGCAGCACGTGCGGCACGATTTACTCCACCGACCCACGCCATGTCGTGAACGAGTGCGAAGGATTGCAAAAAAACGAAGGATTGCAAAAAAAACCGAAGGATTGCAAAAAAAACCCAAGAACGAAGGATTGCAATCCTTGGGTTTTTTTGCAATCCTTGGGTTTTTTTGCAATCCTCCGAAGGTTTTTTTGCAATCCTTTACTCCACCGACCCACGCCATGTCGTGAACGAGTGCAAGTCGACCCTCTCACTGGCGATCCGGACCTCGCCAGAGTATGTGCCTGCAGGGAGATGCCCACGTCCGCCGGGCCCCTGTCGGGCAGTCCTTGAGGCTGAAGACCACCGCCTCGCCTCTGGACGAGGAGGGGGAGGAGGAGGAGGAGGAGGAGGAGGAGGAGGAGGAGGAGGAGGAGGAGGGAAGGAGGAGGAGGAGGAGGAGGAGGAGGAGGAGGAGGAGGAGGGAGAAGCGAGGAGGTTTGATGCAGACCGAGTGCTGAAGGCAGGTGGAGCTGTGAAGCTCGCGTGGCTGCCCGGGCGAGCGAGACCCGATCGATCTCGAGCTGAAGGGGCACTGCGGATCGCGGCGGAGACTTTCGGGCGTGCTCTCGCGGTTTAGGGGACCCCGTGGGGACCATCCGCTGTGCAAAAACATTCGAGACTATCGGCCAGCCGCACTTTCAGGTTTCTGTTGCTGTTCTCTTGTGTTTTCCTGGGTTCGCTGGGGAACTGCCTGTTACAGCAAGTCGTTTGGACCTGAAATTCGGCTCTATGACGCACTTTGTCACCCGTCTCGGTGCTCCTCACTGTCATCCCCCTCGCTCTCATCCCTTCCTCCCGTCCTCCCCCTTCTCCTCCCCCACCAGCTTGATCGCCGCCAGGCCGCGCCGCGTGTGGAGGATGGCCGCCCTTTCCCGGCGATTGCCGCTGCCATCGGTGATCTGCGCTGGCGTAGGACGTCTCGACCCCTCGGTCAAAGCGGTGGGCTGAGGAGAAGGGGCAGCAGGAGGAGGAGCAGGATAAGGAGTAGGAGGAATAAAAGGAGGAAGAGGCGAAGCAGGGGGGTCATCTCCTCCTGATCGTTCTTCTCCTCATGTTTTCCTCTTCGTCCTCATCCTCCTGAAAAGGAGGAGGAGGGGCAGGATAAGACGGAGGAGGCCCAGAAAGGCCGAGGAGGCCGAGGAGGAGGATAATGAAATGGACAGGACAAGCGGAAGAAGAAGACGAAGAAGAGAAGAAGAGGAGTAGAAGAGGAAGAAAAAGACGAATAAGAAGAAGAAGGATGGGTGAACGAGGTGGTGACCCCCTGGCCCCTAACCCCCCGAAGTTCCGGGAGGCCGCCAGAGGCCCCGAGGTCTCAGGACCAGAATTACCCAAACGCTCTGAGGAGGAGGAGGAGGAGGAGGAGGAGGAAGAGGAGGGGGAGGAGGAGACGCAGGAGGAGGAGGAGGAGGAGGAGGAGGATGAGGAGGAGGAGGAGGAGGAGTTGAAGCAAGACCAGAGGAAGCCCAGGATGCATCCGCGATGCTGCAATACACCCTCGCATCCCACCTCCGCTCCGCAGAAGTCCTTGAAGCATCTTCTTGCCCACTGCCACAGAAGAAACACTCCCCTTGGACGACGAACGCCCTGTGGGGCCGCCCGTCAGGCGCGAGCCCCCCAAAACAAGAGGAGCCGCGCCGCATTCTCCGAGCGAGTTACAATCTGGCTGAAACAAATGGGGGTCCAGTTGCACGGGGGTGGTGGAATAGATCTGGTGCAATCTATTTGTGGGGTTGCGATAGATTTGGGGCGTGCAGTCCATTCCGTGGCGCACAGTGTAGTCATTGCTGGGCTTCTGCGTGCAACGCATTTGGTTGCATTAAGCGCGATACAACTCGCTGGCGCAATACGTGTGCAACAGACTTGCCCCAACTCCACTGCACCACCCCATTTCAGCTGGACCCCCTTTTGGGTAAACCAGATATGAAGCATGCGGGACGGCTGCATCACACAAGGGATACGGTGCGTCCAGCGGAAGCCCCGCTTACCAAGCGGAGGCGCGGTCCATCCGCGCAGCCGCCTCGCGCGATGTGCCCACTTCGGGGTCGCCAAGCTCGACAGTGGCTCCGGCGACGGCCCCGTTTTGTAAAAATGCCCCGCCCTCCCCCCGCGCAGCGGTGACATGGTTTCACGCCTTCTGGGCCGTCACGTGCGGGCCCCGCGCGCGAAGCCCCGTCTGAAGAGGACCCCTCTTGCGGTCGGGTCTCTGAACATCATCTCTTTCTCCTCCCACATGCTGGCCTCCGGTAGGCAACATTTATAATCCCCCCGCGACCCCGAACGTTATCATTCCTGTGGGATTCATCTCGGCAGCACAGGGGTATTCAGGTCGAGGTCGGCTCGGGGAGAGTGTTCTAAGGTTCTGCGTGCGTTGTGGGATGTTCTTGTGCATCCTGGGCGGGGGTGCCCTCGAATGTTCTTCAGTTTGGCCGGCGAAGGGCCTCAAGTTCTTGGAGATGTTCTTCTGTCCCAAGTCCCTGGCATCGCTCAGACGTGTGCATTTTTTTCTCGGCGAGGACCTTCGAGGAGCATCCTCGACCATTTGGCGAAAACACCACGCACGAAACCGAAACAAACACAGGAAATGGACGTCCGAGCGATGGCGAGAGTCCGGCCGTGATTGTTGTGAGAGTTTAGACGGGGCTGCGCTTCGCCAGTGAGAGTCCCAGTTTACCTTTCACCTCTGGAGCTGACCCACACGTTCAAGCCTCTGACCGTTCAGTTCGAGGAAGGCTCACGCGAGAGCATTTTCATGACCAGGAGCCGTCCCTCATGCTTGTAAGGGCTGCTGTTTTGTTAACAAATGTGCGCGGTGCTGAGGCGGTAGTCCCAGCATGAAAAGGTGCAGCCCGCCATCCTTGTACTTGTTGGAAAGCTGCGGCGTCAGGATAATGAGCTGTCCGGACGCCGCAGGCGAAACGCCGAGCCCGCCCTACCAGCGCGTATGGTGTAAGACGGGCACGACTCCTATAGAATCAAAGAGGATGGAGGAGAGTGAGGGCAGTAAAATCGGGGGGGGGGAGGGAGGAGGATGAAGAAGATAAGAGAGAACACGAGAGAGGGGGTAATGAGGGAGAGAGGAGATGGAGGAGGAGGAATGAGGAGGGTCCGCGAGCACTCCCCCTCCTCCGCCGCACATGGCTCAGGAGGGGAAAAACACACACAGACACAATTCAACGTCGATTCCCGCACAAATATGGGAAAATATGGATAGTGGGGGGGAAGACAAAAACCTAGAACATATGGCAACGTATTGGGAATCCTGTTATTTGTGTGTGTATTTATTTGTGTGTCCCAGGGCCCTTTCAAGGACTGCTTGCGCCCGGGACGGCCGCGACCATGGTGTACAGCGACGAGGCCAAGATCGAGTACGCGCCCCTGTACGGCAACATCGCGCAGTATGGCGACATCCTCCCCCTCCTCCTACGGCAATTCCTAGTCACCTTCTTCGTATTCTTCTTCGTCTTCTTCTTCTTCTTTTTCTTCTTCCTGACTCCCGTCCCCTCATCCACCTCATCGTCCATCTCGTCCTCCAGCGCATCGTCTGTTTAGTACAGGCCTCGGGCATATGTCTCCGAACGCCACGCCGACACCCGAGCAGTGACCGAGGGACGCGTGCGTGCTGTTGCCCCCCCAGCCGCCTGAGTGTGGGGCCGGTTGCGCCCGAGACGGTTTGCAGTTTGCTCGGTTTGGCCCGCTTTGGGCGCGGTCTCGCCTGAGACGTCCTCGCAGCTTGTTTGGTTTATTATGTGTTCGGCGCAGTCTCCCTCGACACATCCGCGCGATGTCCCGGTTTGGGGGGGCGGTTCGCTCGATAGGTCTTTCCGAGTTGCTTGTTTGGGCTTGGCTCGGCGCTAGCTGTGCCACTTAAACCGTTTGGCGCAAGATATGCAGTCCAAGCTACGTGGTGGGTGCATTGCATGTGGTGCAAGCTATGTGGTGAAAGCAACGGGTTTTAACCCACATCGCTTAGCCCTCACCAACACATGAACGGCTGCAAATCGGCGTTGGATTGTGGAATGGCGTTCGGAACAACCCTCCCGAGCCTATAGTTTTCCCCTTCTCCCCTTGCTTCTAACCCCCTTCCTGCCCCTTCTTCTCCTCCCCGTTTCCCCTCCTGGATCGGATGATGAGGAGGAGGAGGAGGAGGAGGGTGACGGGAGGCAGGAGGAGGAATGAGTTGGAGGAGAAGGCGGAGGAAGAGGATGGGGAGGCACGGGATGAGGAGGAAGCGGATGCAGAGGATAAGAACACCAATGTTCAATTTGACCAAGTGGTTTTAGCGTGGATCCAAACAGCGACGCTGAGCAACGTCTGGAGTGCAGCTGCGGCTGTGCAATATGGGGGGTGGGCACGGGCCACAGGGGGCAACCATATGGCCCTATGGGGTGGGGCCCTGCGTGGTGGAAACTTTCAGGTTGACATCCCATTAATTAGGTGGAACCCAATGAAGCGGGACCCTCTGGGGCGCGAACCGCATAAAACTTCAGTGAATTTCCAAATTGATCGTTCCTCAGGGTCACCCCGTTCGAGCAGAAGTGAGTACCCTGGCCAGTTGGAAAAAACTTGAGCAAGGCCTTCTTTCTCCTTCTCATGTTCCTCCCCCTTCATCCTCCTCACCCTCCTCCACCCCTTGTCCTTCTACATACCTTCTTCCTGTCGCACCTCCGCACGTGTCCGTAGGGCGGGCCGGGCGTTTCGCTTGAGACGTCCTCACCACTTGTGATCCGCTTGCAACGTGCATTTCGCATCCTCTGCTACCTCCTCTGTCTCGCTTTTCGCATGTGTTTTGTTTTTCTCGAAGAGCTGCCAATCGCGCGCTCTTCTGCCCACGCGTCCCTCTGGATGCTCGGCTTAGTGGTGGTTGCAGCGTGCAACAGCTTCCAGGATGGCGGGCGGGCCGTGTCGATAGGCGGCTCTAGCCTCGGCGCCGCGCGTTCCTTCGGGTTTTTAAGACACTGCAGGAGCTTCGAGGACGGAGGGCTGGCCATGTTCAAAGCGCGGAGGAGGAGGAGGAGGAGGAGGAGGAGGAGGAGGGGGAGGAGGAGGAGGGGGAGGAGGAGGAGGAGGGGAAGCGCGGCTCTCGCCCCAGCGCCGCGCACATCCGTCTCCAAGAGTGGCACAGCGGCTTCAAGGATGGCGGGCGGGCCGTCAGAAGCAGTGGTGCGCTCGCCTTCGCGCCGGGCGCCTTCGTTTGAAAGGGCTGCAGGAGGTTCGCGGACGGAGGGCGGTTCCTCGTCAACTTGCGTGTCTGGCCGTATCGCCGCGCGCATTCGTCGTGAGAGGTTGCAGCAGTCTCGAGGCTTCCTATGCTTAAAGCCCCAGGAATCGTATTATGGCAAGATGGCTCGTGGTGTCAGAGTCCCAGGACTGGAGTGATGGCACAGCTTAGGATTGCCAGGACGCAGCAGTCACGTTGATTCGCGGCCTGAGCGTTCCAGGAATTGTGCTCTGGCGCGCCTCAAGATTCTCAGACGGTTGTTTTCCAACGGAGCATTTCCCGCAATGATCATAAAGTATTGTAGGGACCAGTGAAGAAGGATTTTGGATGGATGGTCGACTCCAACATCGGTGATGCGTCTTCGGTTTGCACTGGTCCGCCTCCTTCTCCTCCTCTTCCTCCTTCTCCTCCTCTCCCCCCTTCCTCATCCTCGCCTTCCCCTCGTCCCCCTCATTGGTTATTATTTTGTGGACTTGCTGGTGGGCACTCCAGCCAGCCAGCGCGTCTCCGTCATAGTCGACACTGGCAGTAGGCTGGTGGGCTTTCCCTGCAAGGGCTGCGAGCACTGCGGAAAGCACATGGACGAGGCAGCCTTGCGAGAGGGAGGAGGAGGCGGAGGAGGAGGTGGAGGAGGAGGAGGAGGAGGAGAGGGAGGTAAGGAGCAGGTGGAGACAGAGAAGGAAGAGGAGGAAGAGGATGAGGAAGAGAGAAAACCGATTGTCTTGGCGAACGACCCATCCATATCTAGTTGAGGGGGCCGTGCGTGTGAATGTCGCTGTCAGTAGAGCTCCCTGCGGGGCCACGAAACGCATGAGGCGTGTGTCGGAATGCGGTGTGGAATTCCTTAATGGGGTCACGGAGCGTGCGAGAGGTGTGCCCAAATGGGCTTTGGGGGCGCATGCGGGCGCTGCCATTGGGGCCTTCGGTGGAGCTCCCTATGTGTCCAGGACACGTGTCCAGGACACCTGTGAGGGGTTTACCGACATGGGCCTTGGGGGCGCATGCGGGCGATGCCACTGGGGCCTTCGGTGGAACTCCCGATGGGGCCACGATACGTGTGAAGGGTGTGCCTGAGTGGGTCTGGTGACGCATGCGGGCGCTGCCACTGGGGCCCTGGTTGGAGCTCCCTTTGGACCACGAAGCGTGTGACGGATGTGCCGAAATGGGCCTAGAGACGCATGCGAGCTGTGCCATTAGGCTTTCGTTGGAGCTCCTCATGGGGCCACGAAGCGTATAAGGGGTGCGCTGAAATTGGTTCGGTGACCGCTGGCGGTACCCCCCCCTGGAACTTGAGTTGGTGCCCCCGTGGGACCACGACACTTGTGAGGGTTGTGCCGAAATGGTTGGGGGCTTGCATGTGGTCCCCCTCCCTGGGGCCTTAGCTGGAGCTCCACGAAACGTTTGAGGGGTGCGCCGAAATGGCTGGGGGACCGCATGTGGTCCCCACCCCACTGGGGCCTCAGTTGGAGCTCTGTATGGGACTACGAAGCGTGTGAGGGGTGAGGGGTTTGCCGAAATGGACATGCGGGAAGAGGCAGGGATGGGAGAAAGGGGGAGGAAGGTGGGAAATGGGTGACGCGGGGCGCTGTCTTTGCATACCTGGACTGAACACCACGTTATGGCTAGGAACAGCTATAGGCAACCAGCATCGGATTTGCCGCCCAGGCGAGCGACATGCGACGGGCACGCATGGTTACTCCGGTTATTCCAGTGGCCTCAAGGGTTTGCGGCGTGATGGTGTTGCTGCTGGTCACCCAGGTATATCCAGTGGCCCCGCTCTCTCCCTCCTCCACTCTCCCATCTCGTTGTTTCCTCCGTGCGTGGTATACTTTGGTGATTCCAGCGGCCCCCATATTTGTTTGTCGGGCATAATGGCGCTGCTGTTGGTCACTCCCTAATTCCAGTGGCCCCGCACTTTTTGTCGTAACGGCGCAACTACAGGTCACTTGAGTAGTACCAGTGGACCCTCTAGCAACTGTGGGCCAGGGGCGTGTCTAGCAGCACCCGACGGGGGGGCGGCCAAGCGAAGCGAACGCTGGAGTCGTGCGTGCTCCACTGTGGAGCCCGCCCGTGCCTATTAGGGCATGGCGTGGAGGCAGTAGGACGGGGGGGGGTCGGGCAGGGCTAGGACGAGGGGAAATCCATTCCAGAGCGTTCCAGGACGCTCTCAGAGCTTTCCGGAACGCTCTGAGAAGGCCGCGGCGCCCGAGACATCCTCTAGAGCCGCTGGATCTCAGAGATGTCTCGACTTATCCTCCTCCGATGTCATCTTCTTCCGGGCGTTCCGGAACGCTCTGAGAAGGCCGCGGCGCCCGAGACATCCTCCAGAGCCGCTGGATCTCAGAGATTTCTCGACTTATCCTCCTCCAATGTCATCCTCGTCCGGGCTTCGTCTTAGAGGGGGGCGAGGCGGGTGGATCGGACCCATACCCCAGACGTCATGATTTTGGCATGACGTCAACCCCCAGACGTCTCGACCCATTCCCTGGGACCGGCTTTGCATCCTGCGGTGTTTTTTTGGCGGCCCCGAAGCCCAGTGAGGCCCCCCAGAGGCCGAAAACAATCCAAAACCGCCCGTCGAGATGTTTTCATGACCCGAGGGGGCATCTGGGGAGGCGGGCGGATCGGATGTTGCACACTGACGCGCTGGCCCCCGAGGATCGAGCAGGGGATCCATCACCGAATTGCTTTGCCCCAACACTGAGCATCCCGTCGAGTGTACATTACATGCGCATCAGGCTCGTGGACCTCGGAACATCCTACGCCTTGGCATCGCTCGGACGTGTGCATTTTTCCTTTGGCGAGGGCCATCGAGGAGCATCCTTGATCATCTGGCGAAAAAACCACGCACGAAACCGAAACAAAAACACAGGGAATGGACGTCCGAGCGATGGCGAGACGCATGTCTCGTGGACTCGACGAGCAGGTCAAGTTTGGGGCACGTCGATGCTGCAGCCGAACCCCTCCTCCACAAGGGGCACCCGCCGCGCGTGCGCGCCGCCCGCTGGATAGGGCGGCTGGCGGGCCGGGGCGTGGCCCTCCCCGCCCACCGCGCGCTGTGCGCTCGCGGGGGGGCGCCGCGCCGCCGCCGCCCGGCCGCCGCGCACCCTGACTCCAGATCCGCCCTACTTTGGCTTTTTTCCCAACTTAAAACTGCGTCGGAAATCCACTTATAAGAAGCCTGAAAAGCAGGGCGGAAATTTCTGCACCCAGCATCAAGTAGGGCGGAGATCCACAGAAGTAGGGCGGAATCAGCAGCAGAAAAGTAGGACGGAAATTGGCATCAGCGGGGCTTGGACAGTAGGGCGGAAATTCCAAGCCCTACCTACGAATTTTCACAAAGTAGGGCGGATCCGGAGTCAGGGCATCGCCGTGCTCGTCGTCGTCGTCGTCGTCGTCGTCGTCGTGCGTCGGTCGTCGTCGTCGTCGCCGCCGTCGCAGTCGTTGTTCGCCGTCGTCGTCGTCGTCGTTGTCGCCGCCGCCGCCGTCGCCGTCGACGTCGCAGGTCTCGCGACGTGCTCGTCGGCTCCCCGGGGCCCAGGCCCTCTCGCCGTGGGGGAGCCCAGACCTCCTCGCGTCGGGGAGGAAGTCACGACGAGAGGCTCTTTGTTTTCTTCGGCCTCTGGGGACCCCAGGGCCCCGGGACGGTCAAAAAACAACCGGTCCGTGGGGAAAAACACACAAAGCACACATTGTAGGGGACAAGCACACAAAAAAACACTGTGTGTTTTGTGGGTGTTGTTTTTGTGTTTTTCCCTACAATGTGTGTGTGTGGTTTCCCCACAGTGTGTGTGTGTGTGTGTGTGTGTGTTGTGTGTGTGCGTGTGTGTGTGTGTGTGTTGTGTGTGTGTGTGCGTGTGTGTGTGTGTGTGTGTGTGTGTGTCTGTGTGTGTGCGTGTTTGTGTGTGTGTTCTTTCCCCTCGATACCTCCGGGGTCGACGCTGCGAAAGAAGCATGACGTCGGGGGTCTGGGGAAGCGGGTCCGGAGGGAGGCGGGTCCTGGGGCTTTCTTCGCCGTCCTCAGGGCCTCGAGGCCCTCCATGGGGCGCTGGGACCGCCCGAGGAGGACGCAGGACGAGCAAGAGTGGTCCTGGGGGAAGGCTTCGGGGCCAAGGACCCGTCTCCCTGCCGTGCTCGCCCGTGCCTCGGAGGCCGGGCCTCCCAGAACGCTCCTCCTCCTCCTCCTGCTGCTCCTTCTTCTCCTCCTCCTCCTCCTCCTCCTCCTCCTCCTCCTCCTCCTCCTGCTCCGGCTCCTGCTCCCCGTTCTGCTCCTCCTCCTCCTTCTCCTCCTCCTTTTTCCTCCTCCTCCTCCTCCTCCTCTCCTCCTCCTCCTCCTCCTCCTCCTCCTCCTCCTCCTCCTCCTCCTCCTCCCTCCCCTCCCCTTACGCCAGCGCCGCCGACCCAGAAGGGGGACGTCGACGACGACGACGACGACGACGACGACGACGACGACGACGACGACGACGACGACGGCGGCGAAGGCGACGACGATGACGCCGACGCATTTGGAGCCCTTCTTGGGGCTCTCGTGGGCCCAGGCGCGCCCGGGGCGCCGAAGGCGATCCGAGAGGCGCTGCAGTGTTGCGTCGCGGCGTCGGCTCTTCGGGGGGCCCGCGCGGCGGCGCCGGCGGGGGCAGCCGGCCAGCTCGTCGTCCTCGTCGTCGTCGTCGTCGTCGTCGTCGTCGTCGTCGTCGTCGTCGTCGTCGTGCAGGCGTTCGACGTCGCCCAGTCCGGCTCGGCCGTGTGGGCGGGCTGCGGCGCGGCGGAGTGCCCCGCGGGCGCGGGCGGGTGCCTCGGGGGCCGCTGTGCGTACGCCGAGAACTACTCGGAGGGGAGCAGGGTCTCCGGGGTCAGAAAGCGTCGTCGTCGTCGTCGTCGTCGTCGTCGTCGTCATTATCACCACCACCACCATCACAAGAGTGATCATGACTACGATTGTGCGCATCATCCTACGTGCATGTGTATCATCTTCGTCGGCATCTGAATCATCATCAGCATCCTCGTCCTCAGCTTCGACTCGCTCCCCATTCCCCTTGTCGCAGGGACCATGGTCGGATGACCGTAGCGTCTAGACCCCCCCCCCTGCCATCGCTCGGACGTGTGCATTTTTCCTTCGGCGAGGACCATCGCGGAGCATCCTTGATCATTTGGCGGAAGAACCACGCACGAAACCAAAAAAACACAGGGAATGGACGTCCGAGCGATGGCCAGCGCCCGCACGCCTGCCGACGCGCGCTCCCCCCCCCCCGCGCGCGCGGCGGGACCCAGAGCGACAATCCAAGAGCAACAAGCGGCATGGTGATAATGCGGGATGACGATAAATTAAAAAATGGGAGAGAACGATTAAACAAATAGTTTGCTGCTCTTTCTGCACAAGTTTCTGACTGGAGGAGAACGGTCAAAACTGGTTTTCCAGCCCGCGGCCGGTTTTTTTTTAATCGTCATCCAGGGCCAGGGCGCCGCCGCGTGAACACGACCCCCGACCATTTATTAATCGTCATCCTCCATTACTCTCTCGGATCTCGGATGTCGGCGCGGATTTCTTGGATCGGCGCCGGGCCACCCGGCGGCGCCTCCGGCGCGCCCCAGGCGCGCTCCTGACGCGCCACGGAGGGGGGTCCAGCGCCGATCCAAGACATCCGCGTGGACCTCGGATAGAAATATTACGTGCGTGCCTTCATGCTGATCTTGGGCCAGGGGTTGAAGACGTAGAACCCCCAGCCCGCCCCTGCGGCTCTCGAGAGGTTGCCGCGCCCCGCAGGGTTCTCGCCCCCCCCCAGTGGATCTGTCGCAGGCCCGCGCGGCTTTCGTTAGTCGGCGCTGGACCCCCACGCCCTGCGCGCGGGGGGGGGCACCGCTGGAGGCGCCGCCTAGAAAAAGTCGAGGCGGACGTGTTTGACAGTTTTCGGCCTCTCGGGGCCCAAACAGGTCCTCGGGGCAGTCAACAAGACGACTCGGGATGAAGCATCGGTCCTGGGGTAGTGGTCGAGAGGTCGGGTGCCCGTGTCTCGAAAAAGTCGAGACGCCGAAGACTTGGGGTGGGGGGTCCTTACGTGGGCCCCGGAAGCGGCAGGGCCGTTTTTTGATTGTTTCCGAAAAAATAGTGTTGAAATCGGAAGCGGCACAAAAGAGGCGACCGGAAACGGCAGAAAACACAGCTCCAGGATTGGGAGCCGGCGCCGGAGCCGGTGAAAGAACGGCGGCGGCACCAGTACAAAACGGCGTCGGAGCCGGCAAAATTACGGCAAAACAGAGGCGGTATGAAAAACGCGCCCGTTAATGGAGGATGACGATTAATAAATGACCGGGGGTCGTGTTCACGCGGCGGCGCCCGGGATGACGATTAGAAACAACCGGCCGCGGGCTGGAAACCTATTTTTTAAAATCGTTCTCCTTCAGTCCAGTCAGAAAATTATGCAGAAATAGCAGAAACTATGCTTTAAATCGTTCTCTCCCATTTTTTAATCAATCGTCATCCCGCATTGAGGTCCAGCGCCAGGTCCTGTCGTTCCAGGGCCCGTTGAGAACCTGTCGTTCCCAGGGCCCGTTGAGGTCCAGCGCCGGTCCATGGCGGGGTGCGGTCGGGGGCCTCCGCGCGGCGCGCCCGCCCCGCCGGTGCTGGCCCGCCGCGCTGCGGCAGGGGTGGACCTGCACGGTGTTCTTTTTGTACATTCCGTGGGCCGTTTTCGTCCCGACCTCGCTCTGCGGGGAAGGCGGGCGGAAGAGACCACGAAGGAAACACGAGCACAAAGCGATGTGGACGCCCGAAACGGGTACGGAAAGAATGGGTACAATGCCCAACAGCAGTTCATATATGTATATATATATATATACATATATATATATATATATATATATATATATATATATATGTCGGCGGTGCCCGGTGCGGAGCGAACCCCCCCCCCTGGTAATCTCTCCTGGGGGGGTTCGAGCTGGCGCCATTCCCGGTGCGAGCCTGCACGAACCCCCCCGGTAAACACGACCTCCTCTGGTAGGCTGCACGAAACCCCCCGGTAAGGACGCAACCCTTCCGTAAGCGGCGCGCTGCCAGCACGCGCGAAACCCAGCCCCGACGCGCGAATCTTACCAGGACGGGCCGGAACACGGCGGCGGCATTGCATCCCAGGGCCGTGCCGGAACACGGCGGCACTGTTCTTCTCTACGCGGCCGTGCCGTCGACCCCCCACAGCGGCTCTCGGGATTTGCGCCGCAGCCTCTCGTATTGTGACCACGAGCCACAATACGAGAGGCTGCGGCGGAACAAAGGCGAGCAGACGCGAATAGAGAACACAAGGCGAGCACACGCCACACTTCGACAGGGAGCCACCCTTCCCAACCGCCCCCCTGCCCCCCCCCCAACCCACCCCCCACTCCCACCCCCCCACTCCCACAGGGGGGGGGGGGAGCCCAGGTAGACGCAGTGCGGCCTGCACGAAACCCCCCGGTAAAGCGGCAAGGGGGGGGTGTTCTAAGCCGCTGGCGGCACCCGGTGCGGGCTGCACGAAACCCCCCGGTAGTGCACGAAATCCCCCGGTAGTGCTGGGGGGGGGGGTTCGTGCCACGGCGCACCGCCGACATATATAAAATCCGTGGGCCGTCCTCGTCTCGACCTCGCTCTGCGGTGAAGGCGGGCGGAAGAGACCACGGAGGAAAAACGAGCACAACACGATGTGGACGCCCGAAATGGGTACTGAAAGAATGGGTACAGTGCCCAGCAGCAGTTCCTATTCATTCTGAGCAGGACTCGGTGTCCGCGCCGCCGCGGCCTGTGTCCACTCGAGACAGGAGGCCGCCTGCCCAACAGCGGCCGCTGTTGGTTTGGGACAACATTTGTTGTTGGGCATTGTACCCATTCTTTCCGTGCCCATTTCTGGCGTCCACACACACGGTGTTTGGGCAATTCCGTGGGCCGTTTTCGTTTCGACCTCGCTTTGCGGTAAGGGCGGACGGAGGTCTGCAAGCAGTCTGCCTCCTCACCCTCGCCTCATGCGGCAGGCGAGGAGCAGGGGGAGGTGGAGGGGGAGGGGGAGGGGGAAGGAGGAGGAGGAGGAGGAGGAGGAGGGAGGAGGGAGGAGGAGGAGGTGGAGGAGGAGGAGGAGGAGGGAGGAGGAGGAGGA